GGGGTTTTTTTTTTTTTTTTTGTCTTTCTTCTTTCTAATTAATAACTAGATTGTAAATATTAATTTAACTTTCATCTATTGGGTAATCATATATTTGCTTGTGGGACTTTTCCCTTTAGAATTGGATCAAAGTGAGTTGATGACTTTGGCTATCCACCAAACCTATTTATAGTTTGGGGAGTAGAGTTGGGCACAAAAATTTGAATGAAGATTGTATTAGTTTGAAGATTGTGGATCATAGTAAATGTAAGGAATGGCTATATCTATTGGCATGAAGATGTTTGGTGAGCTATATTTTTGTCTAAATATATTGTTTCGTTTCTTACATCGTAAGGAGTCATATGATACATTTGAAAAATAACATATCAAAAATAAAGGTTTTGAACACATGTCAAATCGTGATTAGTTCGGAAAATGAAATTACCCTTGACATATTTTCCATATTTTATCAATCGCTAATTTCCTAATTTGGAAGAAGACTTTGGTCTGTTTCTGAATTGCATACATGCTTTATTTGGGGTCGGTCCAATGGGAGGGGCTTGCTTTTTTTTTTTTTTTTCCAATGGCTTGCTTGATGGGATTGATTTGGTTATGAGGTCTTGTCTAAGAATTCCCTTTCGACAAGTGAACAAAGTAATCCAATGGACCACATTCAACCAGCATTTGCATACCTTCGCCGAAAGAAGATGTCTACGTGTAAAACATATTATCCAATTTTTCTTTGCTAATCCATCATATTAGCAAGTCATTGGAAACAAATGCTTTATGTATTTACATACACCAATGGTTTCGTATGAGGCTCATGAACATTATGGTGAAATGATTTCCGAATGAGGTATATTAGTTACATTCGTATACGAATACATTTTTTTTATAAATAAAAAAATTATATACTGTGAGTAGTGATTTTTAGAGGTGTGTGTATAACTGATTCAATATCATTGACTTTTAAAAAGAGAATTGAGGGATGGAACGTACAATTTATTTATTTTCTTTAAGTTACAACGATATTCTATTCTATGGGAGGGGCTTGCTTTTTTTTTTTTTTTCCAATGGCTTGCTTGATGGGATTGATTTGGTTATGAGGTCTTGTCTAAGAATTCCCTTTCGACAAGTGAACAAAGTAATCCAATGGACCACATTCAACCAGCATTTGCATACCTTCGCCGAAAGAAGATGTCTACGTGTAAAACATATTATCCAATTTTTCTTTGCTAATCCATCATATTAGCAAGTCATTGGAAACAAATGCTTTATGTATTTACATACACCAATGGTTTTCGTATGAGGCTCATGAACATTATGGTGAAATGATTTCCGAATGAGGTATATTAGTTACATTCGTATACGAATACATTTTTTTTATAAATAAAAAAATTATATACTGTGAGTAGTGATTTTTAGAGGTGTGTGTATAACTGATTCAATATCATTGACTTTTAAAAAGAGAATTGAGGGATGGAACGTACAATTTATTTATTTTCTTTAAGTTACAACGATATTCTATTCTAAGAGAAGGGGGAAAGTTTCAAACCCAAACCAACTGGGTAATAAGGGAGAAGGCAAACCACTAGGCCACTTCACGTCCTTCGGAACATACAATTTATATGTGCAGATATGTAACTATATAGATATGGGGTATTCTAGTGAGCAAAATAGTGATGAATTTGTAACACTTATTATTTGGTGTGTATGAGAGGTGAAATGTTATGTGAGTAGAGAAGAATTGAGGGATGGAACGTACAATTTATTTATTTTCTTTAAGTTACAACGATATTCTATTCTAAGAGAAGGGGGAAAGTTTCGAACCCAAACCAACTGGGTAATAAGGGAGAAGGCAAACCACTAGGCCACTTCACGTCCTTCGGAACATACAATTTATACGTGCAGATATGTAACTATATAGATAAGTGAGAGTGAGCAAAATAATGATGAATTTGTAACACTTATTATTTGATGTGTATGAGAGGTGAAATGTTATGTAAGTAGTAGGAATAAATTATTAGAAGTTCCCAATACATAATGAAACAGGAACATTAATGTTCATCGGGTGGTCGTGCCGGAGTGGTTATCGGGCATGACTAGAAATCATGTGGGCTTTGCCCGCGCAGGTTCGAATCCTGCCGACCACGTTTTTTTTTTTGTCAAGAGAAGAAAGCACTACTATAATTTTTTATTTTGGTTCTCTTGAATGCGTTTATAGCACTTTTTGGGCTTCTACAATGGGTTTTTTGTTTGGTCATATATTGTTCTGATTTCATTGCCCAATTGTTATGGCTTTAAGATTGGCAATTTGCTTAGAACTGGGACTTGCAAACTTCTTTGCTTTTAACATCTATGTCCATTTTATATTGTACCATATTTTGGATCATCAATGAAGTTTTAGACCCCAAAAATAGAAAACTTCTGATTGTATAAACTCGATTTCTTCATGGTGATTGGAATTTGGAAGCCACTTTAAACCATAAATTAAAGTGATACATGAACACCTGCATCCTAACTCCTAAGTTCGATTCTCCTCTCTTCCAATATTGCTTATATATATATATATATATATATATATATAAAGTGACACATGAACACCATATGACAGTAAAGTGTTAGGTACCACAACTAGGACTGTTAAGTGGATCAGTTTGAAACACAAGCATTTGGTACATATAATAATTCCAAGTAAAATTTTACAAATTATACAAGAAATTCAGAACAAATGAAAGCCAACCCAAAAGCTTAAACGTCCTTGGCAATAAGTTCACCGTTCACGAGCTCTCTGTAAGCAGCCACAGGCCAGATGAAGCCTCTGAAAACCAAGCTAGTGGCCAAAGGCACATCAATGATGATCTCCTTCTGCGTTGGCTTCTTGTCATCCCTGATGGCAATCAAGTAGCTCCTGCCAACCCACCCAATCCACCCAGCAATGTACAGGAACAGAATGCCGGGGGTGATAAACTCACCCCAGTGCCTCTGGTCACCGCTGACAATCAAATGAGGAAGCCCATCAGAGCCACAGAGCAAACCCTGCTTGCCATAGTTGGCAAACCTCCTCTGAGTCTTCTCTATGGTGGCGTTGATGGCCAGGGCTGGTGCACTGTCAGGTGCATAGAGCTTCAGTGAAGACTCAAGCTTCTTGATCTGCTGCTTCTCACGCTTGGCAAACTGCTTGGAGTCTTTGCATGGGGTGAGACCTGAGATGTCTGCCACTGCAGGCATGGGAGCTGAGCCCAGTAGGATGGAGGACAGGGCAAGTGCAGCAGAGAAAGCCTGCATTGGTGATGCAGTGGATATTTTCTCTGGGGTAGGGTTTGGAGTTTGAGAGGCTGAGCAGAAGACCATGGTCCTTGGCAGTTTTGTGGCCAATGGGGAGCTGAGTTTTGGCTTCAACATGGGTTTTGAGAGGTTAGTGGGAATTGTGAGAGACATATTTTTTTTCTTTCTGTTTTTTTTCCTCTCTTTTTTTCTTTGGGTTATGGGATTGTGATGAGGAGCAGAGAGGAAGGAGAAGATCTGGAGGGGAGAGTGTGGAGGGCAGGTTTTTAGATTCTTGGGGAGATATTGGTGGTGTAGGAGAGAAAAGGGAGAGTGGATAAGGTGGAGGGAGTAAGGAGGCTGAGTTGGATGATTGTTATTGGTTGGGGGTTGTTTGGTTGTGGGTTGATTAAGATTTTCTCTCAATCTATCCTACCAGAAAAGCCATCTGCAGATAATGAGAAAGTCTACCATGACTTGTGGGTATTGCGTGCTTTCCATTAACTTTTTTTTAAAAAAATTGAATTTTTTTTACCATTTTGGTCCTTCCTAATCTTCAAATTCAAGAACATGTGTATTCCCTATTATCCCAAGAAAAGAAAGTATTACTATTATCTTTAGCATTGCTAATTTATGTTCAATAAAAACATTTTTTATTATATATTTTGTGTCAATATAAACAAGCTTTCTTTCTTTCTTCAATATTTATTACCAATTCGATGAGGCCATACATCATAAAACAACTTAAAATTTGGAAACACAGCCTACGTATTAAACTCTTACCATTATTATGATGGTGTCTTGGAAATTCTGTGTTGAGTTATTTGTACGCTGTACATTGGAACACGTAAAAAAAAATTGACAATTTTTTGAATGTAACAACATCGTTTATAACCTGTGGCAGATAAGATCCCACTGACCTTATGACAGTTATTGGGTAGCCAGGAAGTTTTATGTTCAGACTACATACATGACTGCAATGCAGCATCCAACACCTCAACTCAAATTATACAGTATCTAAGAAACATTTCTCGATTTTAACTTGGACTCTTGAAAACTCAGTATTATTACTGGCCCTGGCTGTAAGGTGCCATTCAGCAGGAAATCGCTAATCACCTGCATGTTTCTCTAGAGCTTCATCGGGTCACAAACAAATCGGTAACCAAGATTAGGTGCTTGAAGTTTCTTTCCCATGACAAAGGCGCGCTTGCTAATGATCAAAAAACTGCACAAGAAACGCTTGTATTCCGTGTAAAGATCATAAAGCTCGCCACATGGAGCTTCTTTTGTCAAATGATACTCTTCAAACTTGGGACCCGAGTCCAACATAAAGATGGAAAAATCTCGACTCCCAGAACTTCAGCAATACACTTCAAGATAACTTTTGGATTTGTCAAAAACCTGAAATCTGAGCCTCAAGGAAAATCCATAGAGCATAGACTCAAAGAAAGCCCAACCTCAAATCTTCAATTTCATTTATCACACAAACTCTTTTGGATTATCGGGTCACAAGCCAACCTGGTTTTACTAGGATATCTTGCTTAAAGTTGCGACCAGTGACTGAAGTAGACTCACCCTGACGACGGAAACACTGCACAAAGAAGGAATTAAATTTTGAAAAATCTGTGTTTAGCCATGAACAAGTAATATGGATAACAATAAGAACTAGATGTGCTCAAGACTTTTGTACTAAAGCAGAATGTTTGAATAATGGAAGGTTGCATAACACTTCCAAAGATTTTATTGCATGTAGCAGGTCACCGAACTGGTTTGCCTTAATTTCCCTTGCTCAATATTGTATGAACACGTGCAAAACAATTCTCATAATTTAAAGAGTATTCTCTGAGGCCGGGGTAAAAATTTTGAATCATGTGATTGATCAAAACAACAGTCCCTACTTCCAAAAGTGCATGTGCTTCCCAGTGTCTCAACAGTGAACCACATGAGACATCTTAGTAATGCTATAACAGTACAATACCAGTTTTATTCTGCAAAGCTTAGGAAAACGGGACTATTGCGATTCAATAAAATCATCCTCATTACATGATTAAAAAGTCAGAATCACCAACCTTGTAACAGACTACGGTGTCATCTGGGTACATAGCAAAAAGTTTAGTTCCAAGCCGTGCATGACAAGAATCACAAAGGCTTTCATCATTGATCTGCACATGCCTCGACTTTTCCTCCAATATTGCTAAACTTGCATCAGTATCTAGAGCACGGGACAGATTATGCACAATCTGAAAAAGCAATCATGTATCAGCTCAATAGGGGATGAAAAACACGACAACATGGAAGAGGCTTCATGCAAGAGACTGATTTGAGTAAAACAGATATCTAAAGATAGCTTGCCCAGCAATCACAATAAAAAATTAGAATGATTAATTCAATTATCATATTATGGAGGAAAATAAATGAATACTGCAAAGCAAATGAATGAAATTTTTTTTTGTGACCTTATAGCTTAATGACAAGAACCTGAAACACAAACAAAAAACTTACACGTCCTTGACGGTGATGATGAAGCCGAGCTCTCAACATTCTTAATATAGTTTCAGAGGCAAGTTGAAGGGGCATATCAGGGGACAATCTCTGCAACATTAACCAGAAATTTTGTACAGAACATGAGAAACATGATGTTTCAAACATCAAATATTTGGCAGAGCCCTCAACAACAGAATTCGGCTATTAACGAAAGCAACTAAAGAAGTGTCTGTGCATCCGTGAGACCTTCCATTTTTTCTTCTCGCCTCCAAATTCCCAAAAACCTGAGAGAGAGAGAGAGAGAGAGAGAGAGAGAGAGAGAGAGAGAGAGAGAGAGAGAGTCTTTATACCTCTAAAACTTGCAAAGGATCCAATGATTCACCATGATTGTGAAGTAGTCGTACAGCTGCTTTAAACATAGGCTCTTTACCATCTTGTGGATCCAGATACATATCAAGTAACCTGAGTTTCACAGCACAAACAAGGAATATCCAGAAGCAATTTTAGATACATCAGAGGAATACTTCACATGTGTGTGCCTGCATGTGTTTATGTGTTTTTGTGTGCTTGTTCGTGCACATGTAGGGGAGAGAGAGAGAGAGAGAGAGAGAGAGAGAGAGAGAGAGAGAGAGAGAGAGAGAGAGAGAGAGAGAGAGAGAGAGAGAGAGAGAGAGAGAGAGAGAGAGAGAGAGAGAGAGAGAGAGAGAGAGAGAGAGAGAGAGAGAGAGAGAGAGAGAGAGAGAGAGAGAGAGAGAGAGAGAGAGAGAGAGAGAGAGAGAGAGAGAGAGAGAGAGAGAGAGAGAGAGAGAGAGAGAGAGAGAGAGAGAGAGAGAGAGAGAGAGAGAGAGAGAGAGAGAGAGAGAGAGAGAGAGAGAGAGAGAGAGAGAGAGAGAGAGAGAGAGAGAGAGAGAGAGAGAGAGAGAGAGAGAGAGAGAGAGAGAGAGAGAGAGAGAGAGAGAGAGAGAGAGAGAGAGAGAGAGAGAGAGAGAGAGAGAGAGAGAGAGAGAGAGAGAGAGAGAGAGAGAGAGAGAGAGAGAGAGAGAGAGAGAGAGAGAGAGAGAGAGAGAGAGAGAGAGAGAACCAACTGCATATAGACATCTGGCCTCCCAATCTCAGCACAATATTGCTCAGCAGCTTCACTGTTTTCCAGCTTCCTAAAAAGCCATTGTTTATTAGTTCGCAGAACTTTGCACCAATTCGGTTTTCATCTATAAAACAATTATTTCTTCAAATTTCAGCTCATGCCACTGAATCCCATGTATTTGGGATTAAACTACAGTTACTACTACGTTCCAATATGCCTTGAAGTGTAATAAACCATTCTATTATCTAACCTAATTTAAACCATAAAACTAGCAAAAAAGAACAGAAGACTCTAAGCGAGAACATAGATCAGCACTTGCCAACTTACTATTAAACCCCATAACTGAAGCATATTGGACACCGCAGAAGGGGGTAGACAATATAATGGAGAGAGAGAGAGAGAGCCAAAAGCTAATCACTTATATGCTATCTGAAAAAATTTCTTAATATTTCTCAATACAATTTTATGTGCTATAATATAAGCTCTTACCATTATTACTAGTCATAAACCTCACATGATTCAAGAAATTGCTAAACGGATAACTTTTCATACTTCAGAAAAGATGATATAGAAATTTATGAAATGCACAAAAGAAACACCATTGTCAAGGTAACAATGAAATTTATCATCGTTTTCTCTTTCTTGGAAAAAACAGGGATGGTGGACATTCACATACAAACAACAAGCCTCAACTTGTGCCAAATTAATGTGAAATGATACCCACATGAGGTGGCATAGGATATATTGTTGCGAATATTTTAGAAAGGAAGATGAAACTTACAAGGCCAAAATTTGGAGCACCAATGCCTCTTGCCCTAGTTTTTTATAAAGAATAGCCTGTTGAATAATCCAGAATCAGAGACTAGCAGTAGCAGTATCAAACAAGAAGACAATCATTTTGGCACTACAAATTATCAATGCCATCCATGAGTGACCAACAGCTAAAAGAGCAAGCTTAATAATTAACTTGTCCAAGGTCTCAGAGTACATAATCATTATATTCAGCTAGCCATGGTTCAGAAGCAGAATTCAAGACAAGGTCCAAAATAAGTAACGACAAACCTTCTCTGACCACAATTCTGATCCCTCAATCAAGTCAAGAACCTCCTCTGGGTCATACAAGTCGGAAGACTCTAAAAATATCTGCAGTCTTTCCCGAACAGGACTTTGAAAGATCAAACTTGTCCTATGATCAGAAATGTTTGTCTCTTCTATTCTTCCAGGATCAAGGTTTTGGGAAGCAATTTCTGCTTGAAAAGCTTCAATTGCTGACTTGGCCAGTGAGAGAGCATATAATGTGTGGAACTGACTGTCATAAGATTCTTGGTCTTCAATTAACCACTGAAGGTACCTGTGCAGATAAAGAGGTTAAAATCAAATCTGTGCAGTGAAGATCAATTCACATAAGGAAGAACTTTTCTTTTCTTTTTGAAAGTAACGAGTGCAGGTAAGAAAAAGCAAATAAAGAATATGACAAATGCATTTGATAAAATAAATGACACCGCTGGAACAGTGAGATAAAAGAATAGCACTTTGACGAAAATATTGCACAGGTAGTTTATCATGGTTTCCTTGCATTGTAAGTTATAATGGTAACTATATGATTCCACTTTGCGCTCTTACAAACTGTGGCTGACACCATGAAACCAAACTCAATAATGCCATCATGTTTTTTAACGATAAACAGTTAGAATGAATCAGGATTATCACTCCCAAAGAACGACCACACAATTTTAAAGATTATTCCAAAAAAAAACTATGGCATTTCATACTTT